TCTGCTGCTGGTGGGACTCAGCTCAGGCCCGGCCAATACAGCCGCTCCTAGCTCCGCCCCTGACGAGGTTCTCAACTGCCCAGAGGTAGCCGAGGTGCTAGGGGGGGCTGGGAGGAGGCTGGGAGCCTACGCCCGGAATCGGATCCTATGCTCGGCTCAGGGCCCTTCTCAACCAAAATCTTCTCTTCTGGGAGGCCTTCCCTGGATCGGCTGACTGTCGCCCCTTCAGGCTGTGTGTTTGTATCTTGACATTTTGATTTGCGTGTTAGTTTGATCACTTCATGCCCTCCACTACTACCACCGCCTTTGGACAGAATTAAATGTAGGCCCACTGACTCTGTTTCATGCCTGTCCACCACCGTTTGACAGAATAATTGTAATGTCACTGTCGTGGCCCCCAGTGCGCCGCCCCCTGCCCACTCCAGAGAACACCTTGTGGTCAGAATGGTTAAGCCAGTGGTTCTCTCATAACCTCACCCTCCAGCTTCATTCCCACCTGGGCAAACACCTTTGAACAAAACTGTTAGGACACTGATTGTTTTTCATGCCTCCCACGACCATCACAGGACAAGATCAAGTAGCACTCTGGTGCTCTTCTTCCCTGCCTCCAACTCTGTTGGACAGAATTGATTTTAAGGTAATCGATTCTCTGATTCATGCCCTGCTCTCCACCACTTCCACTGCAAAGGATCAAATGCAAGGTTACTGACACCGCCTTTCATCACCCTCAAAGCCAGAGCCTGGAACTGCATCCAGGCCTCCTATGTGGGTGCAGGGGCCCAAGCACTTGGGCCATCTTCTACTGCTTTCCCAGGTACATTAGCAGAGAGCTGGATGGGAAGTGGAGCAGCTGGGACTCAAAACAGTGCCCATATGGGATGCCAGCATCACAGGCAACAGTTTAACCTGCTGCACGACAACACTGGCCCCTGATTTCTGAATTTAAAGTAACACATGTCCTGTTAAGACATCCAGTGGTCTTATACTTCTGAATCAAGTACCTCTTGGTGATTTTGGTGATGGTGTGTTGACTACTATGTCTTTTCCATTCAAACTAAAACCTGACAAGGATGGCTAACAGCCTCTTTAACCAGGAGGTTTGCTACCAGAACTAAGCAGACAAAAAAGCCCAGTGGCCTGTGCTTCCCCCAGTGACTTTCTCAGGTGCTACCTGGCAGTGGCGTATAACTGGCGGCAGGAGTAGTCAGTCATCAGGAAGAAGTTGGCTAGTGGTGGAGAGGGATATTTTCCCAACCTAAGCAACAAATGGTGCTGATCTTTCTGAATCTGAAAATCAGTTTTTCACTCCTTTTCATCCCACAAAATGCTACCTTAAATCTACTTATTCTGTTGATTTTGATTATTTAAACTTTCAAGTCCCTACTTTTGTTTCTCCAAAACGTAGCTAAGTTCTAGAACTGCAGAACAACATGAAAGAGCCTAGTATAATGGCAACTGTACTGGTCCATGGCTCAAACAATCCAGTCCTAAACTTGGTTCTTTCATTAATTATCTGTGTGCCCTTATACAAGTCACCTAGCCTTTCTGTGTTCTGGTTATTTTTATAGATGGATATTCCTGATTTCTCTCCCTGGCATTTGTTACAATCAAATGAATGAGCTAGTAAAGCAAGTGTTACTTAATGAATTTTTGGCAAAATTTACATCCTTAATCAAATTTGTGTATGATTTTAAGCAGTAGTTCTTTTCTTACAAGTGTCTGATTCTAGTTGTTTTGCACAGACTATTTGGATGGTCCCAACCCTCTTGAAGTCTGTTTATCCTGGTCCTCCTTTTGTTTCTAATGAAGAGTTTTTGGCCTTTAACCTCTATCTCTTTCTCCAAAGGAGATCAGAAAAGATTGTAAGGACAAGGATGGTGTGACAGGATAAAATTTTTTTTTGACAGGCAGAGTGGACAGTGAGAGAGAGAGACAGAGAGAAAGGTCTTCCTTTGCCGTTGGTTCACCCTCCAATGGCTGCCGCGGCCGGCGCACCACGCTGATCCGAAGCCAGGAGCCAGGTGCTTCTCCTGGTCTCCCATGGGGTGCAGGGCCCAAGCACTTGGGCCATCCTCCACTGCACTCCCTGGCCACAGCAGAGAGCTGGCCTGGAAGGGGGGCAACCGGAATAGAATCCGGCGCCCCGACCGGGACTAGAACCCGGTGTGCCGGCGCCACAAGGCAGAGGATTAGCCTAGTGAGCTGCGGTGCCGGCCTTACAGGATAAATATTAAGCAACTAAATCTGTGGGGTTTTGTTTTACTGCACTTAGAGTTGCAAAAGTTTTTGTATAGCTGAGTGCTTTTGTTTCTGAGGCTGAAAACAGACATTGGAAGACAGAGGAGACATTTAATAATCGCTGTAAAATTAATTTTGTCTTCTATTGGTAACTGCTCCCACTTTGGTTCACTTCCCCATGCAGTGAATTTGTGCTTTGGAGAGAAAAATAACAGTCATGATATATACAGTCCATCTAAAAACTAATGAGCTTAATTCTGCTTGCTGGCCATGGCTCTCAGTTCAGGGATAGACACATGACCCAATTGGGCCAATGGGAAAGGAGGAGACATTCCCTGGGGGATTCTGTGATCAAACTTTTTTGCTATTCTCAGGAAGCTTTTGGAAGCATCTCTCTCAAACTCTGTCTTCTCCTTCCCTCTTTCTACCTTTTTCCCCATTTCTGAGTATACACAGTAAAGCAACTAGTACCTGTCAACACTCATCTTGTGAAGAGGGCAAACCTGATTTTGCAGAAAGCAGAGCAGAAAGGGGAAGAAAATTGGTCCCCAATGATTTTGTCAGGCTACTAAATCAAACCCTAAAACCTTCTCTGAACTTCCAATTACAGAGGACAATACATCTCCCTTGTGGTTTGGGGCAGCTTAAATGGATGCGTTACTTAGAGTCAAAGGTAGCCTTTCACATCAAGCCTTCTCCAGCTACCCTGTACCTACACACAGGGACAAGCCTCCAGTAATGACTTGTTGGGTGTCTTACTAGCTCTTCACATGAACATTCAAACCCAGACTTCATTTCATTTATCCTATAATATCCAGAAAAGAAAAACAACAATAAAGAATAGTTAAACAAATCATGGCATACACACTCCATGGACCATTATACTGTCATTAAAGATTTATTATAGGCTGGCGCCGCGGCTCACTAGGCTAATCCTCCGCCTAGCGGCGCCGGCACACCGGGTTCTAGTCCCGGTCGGGGCGCCGGATTCTGTCCCAGTTGCCCCTCTTCCAGGCCAGCCCTCTGCTGTGGCCAGGGAGTGCAGTGGAGGATGGCCCAGGTGCTTGGGCCCTGCACCCCATGGGAGACCAGGAAAAGCACCTGGCTCCTGGCTCCTGCCATCGGATCAGCGCGGTGCGCCGGCCGCAGCGCGCCGGCCGCGGCGGCCATTGGAGGGTGAACCAACGGCAAAGGAAGACCTTTCTCTCTGTCTCTCTCTCTCACTGTCCACTCTGCCTGTCAAAAAAAAAAAAAAAGATTTATTATAGGATTTCTGCATGAGAACATGTAAAATGCAAACATTAAGAATAAGGGAAATAAAGATACCAAATTATATTTTAAATTTGAGCTCAGTTTAGAAGAGATCTAAACTTTTGTGTAGAAAAAGGTGTGGAAGGATAGAGCAAAATGTCACTTAAGGATGCTTAGAGTGATGTTATGCTTAGACTTGACATTGAAGAAATGCTAGAGTCCCTAAGTGGGAATATGTTCTAAAATTATAAACCAAGGATAGGTAACATGAACAGCCTTTCTCAGTTCTTTCACCTCAGAAGATGAAGGTTAATCCTACATACTTGTCAGAATCCACTGCTCTTCTGTTTTTTATCTAAAACTTGATCTTATCTGCTTCTATTAATATTTACTTAGTGCCCATAATTAAGTGAGCAGGTACCATTATTTGCGGTGGACTCTGACATCTAAAGTGCCACCTATTATCTGGAAACTTGGCATTTCTTACATCAGCAAGTTTAGTAAAGCCTTTATCCAACCAAACTGTTGGCCAAGGTACACCTCCCACCTTTAGTCCCCTCCCCACAACAGGCATGGCTACCAACAGTGAACTCACCACGGGTTAGTTTCCAAGTTGCTATGATTTCCATCAGGGAGGGTTGTGTGGCTAAGAGGGCTTCTTCCCCAGGCCACAGCAGCCTTATTTTCAGTCTCAACTCTTCTAACCTCCCTCCCCCACACCCCACCATCCCCAGCTCTACCTACTTTTCTGGAGGTTTGAAAGTCTCGAGGAAAGAATTTAGGGACTCCTGCTCTAGACTAATCTGCCCCTTATATCACCTGATGCATGAAACCATGTAAACTGGTGATGCAAAAGGAACAGGACCGGGGGCTTCATGCCTTCCACTGTTTGACATGTGCCATAGAGTGGAATAGAAAAGCCCAGATTTCAAAACTGAAAGAGATTCACTCTCATAAGAAATGCTAGAACTGCCCTGCCAGTACAGTGCTACTAGCTACATTGGGCTCTTGAGCCCTTGAAGTGTGGCTGGTCCAACTTGAGATGTATTATCCAAAATTTATCCTGGATTTCAAAGGCTCCATATGAAAAAGAATGTAAATTATTGATTAACAACTTTTATACCAATTACGTGGTGAAATGATAAACTTTTGTATAAACTGATTAAATAAAATATGTTATTAAAGTTGTTATTGCACAGTGCTGTGCTAGATACATTACAGAGTGTCTCTTATGCTTCTGTTTATACAGTAAATTAACAAGAATTTGCTCCTGGGCTGCTGTATGCCAGGGTTGCATTAGGTACAGTTACCTCTTTTTTTTTTTTTTTTTTTTGACAGGCAGAGTGGACAGTGAGAGAGAGAGACAGAGAGAAAGGTCTTCCTTTTGCCGTTGGTTCACCCTCCAATGGCCGCCGCGGCCGGCGCGCTGCCGCCAGCACACCGCGCCGATCCGATGGCAGGAGCCAGGAGCCAGGTGCTTTTCCTGGTCTCCCATGGGGTGCAGGGCCCAAGCACCTGGGCCATCCTCCACTGCACTCCCTGGCCACAGCAGAGGGCTGGCCTGGAAGAGGGGCAACCGGGACAGAATCCGGTGCCCCGACCGGGACTAGAACCCGGTGTGCCGGCGCCGCTAGGCGGAGGATTAGCCTAGTGAGCCGCGGCGCCGGCCTACAGTTACCTCTTAATCCTCACTTAAATCCTGCAAGGCAAATATGAGTATACCCATTTACAGAGGGGTAAACTGAGGCTTAAAAAAGTTAAGTAAACTGCCCCAGGTCAGCCACTTAAGTATGGCACATACAGTGAATTAAACACTGAATCATTGTTTAAGGTGTTACTCAGTTGTCAAGGCTTTTTTCTCTGCCATGATTTGAAGACCTAACAGAGGAAGTGATACAAAAAAAAAAAAAAAACAAAACAAAAACCTGGGAGGAGATGTGTTCTCTAAAATTGAAATTGCTGGGGCTAGCACTGTGGCATAGCAAATAAAGCAGCCGCCTACAACACCCGCATCCCATATGGGCGCCAGTTCATGTCCCAGCTGCTCCACTTCTCATCTACCTCCTGCTAATGGCCTGGGAAAGCAATGGAAAATGGCCCAAGTGTTTGGGCCACTGCCACCCACATGGGAGACTGGATGGAGTTCCTGGCTTCTGGCTTCGGCCTGGCCCAGAGCTGGCCATTGCAGCCATCTGGGGAGTGATCCAGCAGGTAGAAAATCTCAATCTCTCTCTCTCTCTCTCCCTCCCTCCCTCCCCCCCATAACTCTTTCTTTAAAAAAAAAAAAACTTTTATTTACTGAATATAAATTTCCAAAGTACAACTTATGGATTACAATGGCTTTCCCCCACCCCATAACTTCCCTCCCACCCACAACCCTCCCATCTCCCGCTCCCTCTCCCCTTCCATTCACATCAAGATTCATTTTCAATTCTTTTATATACAGAAGATTGATTTAGTATATATTAAGTAAAGATTTCAACAGTTTGCACCCACACAGAAACACAAAGTGAAAAATACTGTTTGTATAACTCTGACTTTCAAAATAAATAAATCTTTAATAAGTTTTAAAATATAAAATTGAAATCGCTTCACATAGATGAACCTCACTGAAAAAATAAGACAACACCTCCCTAGTCCTTGATATCAAGTTAGCAAACCCATAATTGGCAACAACTGATGTAGTATTGCTTTCCTTTTTATCTAACCATAACTTCGATTTTTCGAGTGGGTGTTGTTGAAGATCTAGACTTTCCCCATTCAAGAAAAAAAAAGATTCCTGTATGTCTGTATTTTTAGATGTAGCAGGAAGAAAACTCCACTAGCTAGTCCTATAATTTCCTTTTTCTCAAAGAGCATCTGCAAGACGCTCTTCAAGATGTTTCTTGATGGATTCAGATATACAAGTTTGGGGTTGGAACTACTGAGAGAAGGATCTAGAGCAATCCTGGGAAGAAGGGAGAAAGAGATAGAATGGAGGGAAAACCAGGGGGAGGTGTCGCTCCCCCTCTTCACGGAGGAACGACACTAAACCCTGCCCAGGCTTCATATCCGAGTCACGGCACCATTATGTCGCTCCCCCTCTTCGCGGAGGAACGACAAAGGACCCTGCGTTGTTCTTTTGTCTGCTCGGCCCTCCCCGGGTTTGCTGCTGGTTCTTCCCGGGTTGGCTACCGACCCTTCCACCTCCGTGGAAGGGCAGTTCCCCCTGCCACATTCCCCACTTCCGCGGGGGAGCGGCATACCGCCGGCCAGCCGGCTCTCTCGGGGGCTGCACAGGTGTTCCTTCAGATAGATGTTCCTGGTGCATGCCGTCTCTCTCCTCCTTTATAGTCCTCTTCCACCAATCCCAACTCTGCTACCCACACGCCAAGTACGCTGCTCTCCTCCAATCAGGAGCAGCTCCTGCAGGTTATTGGTCGAACTGGAGGCAGCTGTGTAGAAGTTGTTTACTCCTCTCCCAGCGCCATATTGTGGGAGAGCAGATGCATAGAATAAGTCTTAATTCCAGTAACTTAGTCTAGTCCGAGTTGCTCCCAGTTGCTCCCCACAGGGAGGGGGCTTTAACAAGATAGAATGATTGATTAAAAGATGTGAGAATGTTTAATTCTGCAAGATAATGCAAATTTGTAAAACCAAGAAATTTTGTTAATCCATATCCTCTTCAAAACTTGGCATTGTCAGAGCACTTCATCAACTACTCTAATTTTTGGTTTGGGTGTTTAATTCATATGTTGTATTATTTCATTTTCTGCTGCTTTAGCAGAATACCACAGCCTAGATAGTCTATAAACAAATGTATGTGGCTCACAGTTCTGGGGACTGGGAAACCAAGAGCATGGTACCAGCATCAGGTGAGGGCCTTCATGCTGTGTCATAAGATGGGAAAGGGCAAGCAAGCATGTGAGACAGAGAGAAGGTCAGGTGGGTCTTAGCCTTTTTATCACAAGCCCGCTCCTGTGGTGGAATGAGAAGACCATGCCAGGATGGCCGTTGGCAACAGAAACTGACTGGCAACAGGCTGTGATTGGATGGCTTCGGAAACCACATGACAACAGAGCCTGACTGGCAACAGGCTGTGATTGGATGGCTTCGGAAACCACATGGCAACAGGCTCTGACTGATTAGGGCATACACCAGAGTAGCTGCCTTGGCTATTTAAGCTGCTGTACCAACTGAAATAAACAAGTCTGCAGGCTGCTCACCTCTGGCTTGCTCTCACCCGACTCCTGGGGTCTGTGTGGTGACTCTGCACCTCTTGCCCCCACCACACTCCTCCTCTCAGAACAAATCCACAGCAACACGCTCCTGTGATAACTAATCTACGCCCTCAACAACTGCATTCATCCATTCATGAGGGTGGAGCCCTCAGGACCTGATCACCTCTTAAAGGTCCCACCTCTTAATGTTACAATGGCAATTAAATTTCAACATGAGTTTTGGAGGACACATTCAAACCCCAGCATGGGTGTTCATATTTATGTATGTTTTTACTTATTTTAACTGAGGGCCAAGCATTTACCCATGTATCTTGAGCCCAGGAATACTGTTAATTCAATTCTTTCCAACTAAGCTGAAATAATAGAGCCACAGCATACTGACCAAGTTCTATAAATGAACGCTATTGAGTTCCATAAATATCACAGTCCAATTAGAGGCTCAAAGATCAAGCCTTATTCTAGAGATAACTCTGAGGTGTGTGTTACCCACTTCCATGTTAGCGTTTCTTCCTCAGCTATCACAGCCCTTCATGCTGATTCCGCCTGACCAGTATCATTCATGCGCCTGAAGAATTCTCCTGGATTCTGATAGTTTCCCTTCTCATTGCCCAACAAAATGTAGCTCTTTGGTGCCGCATTCCAAGACTACTGTTTTCTTTTTAAAGATGTATTCATTTATTTGAGAGGCAGAATGACAGAGAGGGAGGGTAGGGAAAGAGGAGTGGGAGAGAGGGAGAGAGGGAGGGGAAGGGGGAGAGAGAGAGAATGAATGAATCAATCAATGTTCCATCTGGTACACTCCCCAAATGGCTGTGACTTCCAGATCTGGGCCACCCTGAAGCCAGGAACCAGGAACTCCATCCTGGTGGCAGGAACCCTTGTATTTAGGCCATATTCTGCTACCTTCCAGGTGCATTAACAAGAAGCTGGATCAAAAGAGGAGTAGCTAGGTCTGAAACCAGCACTCCGATATGGGATATTGGTGTCACAAGCAGCAGTTTAACTTGCTGCACCACAACACTGGTCCCCAACACTACTCTTTTCTAGCAATGATCCTAAATGCAATCTTTAGCCACCACAGCAAAGAAGTTGGGTCAGTCATTTTGGTTGGGTGGGCCTTTGGACCTTCCTTATGCCACCAGGGAGGCCACTACCTGTTCCAATGGAGATATAAGATCAGCCATAGACACTAGTAATCCCTACTTGATCATCCCACAAGATTAGGTGGCGCTGTTATTTACTGACTGTGTGGTCTTAGGTGAGTTATTTAACCTCTCTGGGCTTCGACTGCTTCATCTGGACAATGAGATAATGGAGTCATGAAGCTTCCTTCACAGGTTTCTTGTGAGGACGAGTAACAGTACCCTCCTGACTTTGGTCAGCTCCCAATTACTTGATCCACTGCTGTTGTTTTAATACATTCAAACATGATAGCATAGCCTACACAAACACCTGACCTTGAAGTCCCACGCCTGCTTCTGCCACAAACTAGCTCTGTGGATTTGGAGAAATTGCTTCATGTTTCCACACCCCACTCCTCATATGTAAAGTGAGTGAGCTGGACTTCAGCTGATCTCTAAAAAGGAGATCATGAGCCTATGAGAAGAGGTCTAACATACTAAATTATTGATCAATACCAACATAGTCATCCACAGCTGTTGTTCCTCAAGCACTAATGTATTAAATAGATCCTGAGGGAAGAGTTAGGACAAGCACTTTCCTAGAAAATAAGGCAAAGAAAATGATGAAAAGAGGAGGAAAATACCCCAAAATGTATAAATAAAAGATGTTTGTGTTCAAAACCGAGTTAAGAACTCTGATATTACTCTCCAATTACTCCAATTATTTTTTCACCACCTTACAAAGCAAGCTTATTGCATGAGTCAGAGCTGTATTATGTTTCTCCTTGTGTAACAAACTCCTTGTATAACCTTTTTCTTCTTCTGTCCTTTCCCACAAATGACTTCATTCTTCTACCACATTTTCTTCCTTCTCAGCATTCCTGTTGTCTCTGATTGCAGCAAAAAAGTCACTTTAGTCCTGGGTTTTCTTTGGCAGCATATTCTGAGGAGCACCTGTCCCCATTCTTATGCTATGTTGCCTCATGGAGTGGAGAAGGCTGGGTTCCCATATATACCTTATGGTCATGGACAAGAAATTACATGTGAATTAGGCATAAGGGGAATTTCGCAATTCAATAAAAAAATAAAGAAACATGCTCTGTTCTCCTTATTTAAACCTTAAACTCAGGCAATTCGGCTTTTCAATAGCCACCCTGGCTTCTAATGAGTAGCAGACTTGCCTGTAAGCTCCCCTTATAATTCTCTGTCAATCACTTGCTAACTAATATTCTATTGTCCTTTGTCTGCTTACAGGGTTGGCAATGTTTCTGATGAAAATCCACTGGGTACTCACTGGATGAGAAAGTTACAATGAAATGTTGTTTCACTCAGACTCCCTGGAGACACAAAATCTCTCCCACAACACTAGGTTACTGAGAGGAAGAAAGTAAAGGAGGGGGTGAGTTGGTGGCTCACATCACAGAATAACCAAAACTTGAGATGGATGGAGATGGCAGCAAGAAAGGACTACAGAGCTAAGTAGCGTGAGTCTGGCCGACAGTGACAAGTGCACAAGGAGGTAGGTGCTGGGATCTAAATGCTTGTGGTCCCCCCAAATCCATATGTTGAAGGCTAACCCCAGAGTAGTGGTATTAGGAAGTGAGAACTTTGGTGATGATTAGGTCATGAGGGTGGAGTCCTTGTGAATGGGATCAGTGCCCTTTAAAAAAACGGCCTCAGCAGGAGCTGGTGCTGTGGTGTAGCAGGTAAAGCCACCGCCTGTAGTGCCAGCATCCCATATGGGCGCCGGTTCAAGTCCTGGCTGCTCCTTTTCAGATCCAGCTCTCTGCTATGGCCTGGGAAATCAGTACAAGATGGCCCAAGTCATTAGGCCCCTGCACCTGCGTGGGAGACCTGGAAGAAGCTCCTGGCTTCAGATCGGCACAGCTCCGGCCATTGGGGAGTAAACCATCAATGGAAGACCCCTCCCTCCCTCCCTCCCTCTCTCTCTCTCTCTCTCTGCCTCTCCTTCTCTCTCTATGTTATGCTAGCTTTCAAGTAAATAAATCAATCTTAAAAAAAAAATAAAATAAAAACTGCCTCAGCGAGCTAAGTAGTCCCTTCCTCCTTGTGAGGATGCAGTGAGAGGGTGCCATCTTCGAGAAAGCAGGCTTTGCCAGACACCAAACCTGCCGGCAACTCAATCTTGGGAGAAATACATGGCTGTCCTTTATAAGCCATTGCAGAAGCCTCAAAAGGCTAATATATATGGTTGTGGTCTAGCGGTTCCAGACTTGCATCTATCACCTACATTTGCCCTTCTGGGAAGGCAGTGAGTGTGTGTATGTGTGTGTGTGATTGTGGGGGGGGGGGGTTACACACATTTCCACCTCTCCCCAGTAGCAGCTTCCGATTGGACTTCTCATCGCCAAACAGGTTTTCCTGAAGATCACGTTCTCACTGACATTCCTGGGCGCTGCCTCCACTCCTCCAGCACACGAAATTCATGCTAAGGTCACCAGTGATCTTCTTGGAGAGACTTTTTAGTCCTGTTTTTCTCAATCCCATGGTCACTCCCTCTTGTTGAAAAACCCTCTCTCTTCCTTTAGGTTTGGTGACTTCATACTCTCCTTGTGTTCCTCCTGCTCTCTGGCCACTACTGGGTACCTTTCCCTGACTTCTGCTTCTCTTCTTTATTTTAGGGTTTCTTAGAGCTCTATCCTCTACTCTCTTCTTCTTTGCCTCTCTCTTCTAGGAAGTCTTCCTCATCTCCATGGCTTCACCTTACCATTTTGATTTTGACTCCCAAGTTTAAACTTCCTGCCAAATGCCTACTGGCCATTTTCACTTGAATGTCTTAGTGATCGCCTCAAGCTATTCATGTCCAAATCCTCAGCCAGTAATGTTCCCCTCCTGCTATGGTTCCAAAGTAGCTCCAAAAGCTCAGGTGTTGATAACTTAATCCACAAATTCAGATGTTAATGATATTTGAAGGTGAGGCCTTTGAGAGGTAATTAGGAGTAGATGAAGTCAAAAGGCTGGAGCCCCCACGATGGCATGCTTGCTCTGCCTGGCCACGTGACACTCCCCACATGTTACAACATAGCAAAAACATCCTCACCAAATGCCAAGTAGATGCTGGCACCCTGCTCTTGGACTTCCCAGCCTCCTGAACTACGAGCCAGATAAGCTTTCATTATTTATAAACTACGCAGTCTCAGGTATTTTGTTACAGCGATAGGAAATGAATTAACATATTTGCTCAGAAAACGGTGGTTCTGCTGACCAGCTTGTTTAAAATAAGAATCTGGGAGGCACCCTCAGCACCTACCTCACTGTCACCTCTTGCATCCTATCAATCATCAAGATTTTTCATTCTGTGTCCTCTGTATCTTTTGAATCCTCTGCTTCTCTCCATCCCAACTGCCACCAACCTGGCCAGAGCACACTTGTCATCTGGCTTTTGCAATGTCCTTCTAATTGGTCCCCTCATATCATCTCTCATCCCCCCACTGAATTCTTTTATCTACTGCAGCCTAAGTAATTCTTACAAATATAAAAAAACATCTCGCCACTCTCCTTCCATGGTCCCCATTCTCCCCTCCTCTCCTCTTGGTCTAGCGCTTACTTCATCTATTCCCATAATATTAGATTTATTTTAATCCCTCAAAATGAAATGTTGACCTGCCTGAAGCCTTAGGCTATGTTCTCCTTCTGTCTGAAATGCTCATTCCACTCCCACTGACCCGAAACAGCTAATCCCTATTCATCCTTATGGTCTGCCTCAAACATTGCATCCTAAGGAAACCTTCCCTGACCATCTGGATGGACTATGCCTCCTTTTAATAATTCCCATTGCACTGTGCAGTCCTCCTCCATAGCACATTGCACACTGGAAGTTAATTAATAGCCCATTTGGTTTAATGCCAGCCTTCCTCTCATGGCCAAGTTCCAGAATTCCAGGGCCCATGCATGTTTGACTACTGCTGAGGTCTCAGTTCCTAGCATAGTATCCAGCTGCTAGAAGAACAAGGCTCTCTGAACATGCCAACCAGTGACTGCCCCCAATGCTTTCATCAAGCCATTTGTGCAGAATTGAAAACACCCTGTTTAATCCTCCTGTATTGTCTATTACTATTATAACAAATTACCATAAATTTAGTGGCTTAAAGTAACATAAACTTATTCTCTTACAGTCTGCAGATTAGAAGTCCTAAAGATTGGATTGAGATGGCAGAGTAGGGAAGGAGCTTGCTGCTCTTGTCTACAAGAAGATAGTTTTTAAAAAGCAGAAAGAGTATAGTCTCAGGGAAGAGTTAGGGAGAAAACAGCAGAGGAAACTCCATGCAAATTGGAGAGATACAGTGGACCTACATGGAGGGCACAGTCATGCACAACTCAGGACCTCAGCAGCCGAGAGCCTCAGAACCAGTGTTGCAGAGTGAGCTGAGATCAGACTGCCACTGGCAAAAAAGCTGCAGGAAGAACCTAGAGAGAAGATGGCTTGGAGCCCTGAAGGGGATAGTCTACCTGTCAAACTAGAGGACAAAAAACAAAGGGAGGCACATTTCTCTCTCCACAATCACCCTACAATGGCATCCAGCAACAACAGATAGAGAGCAGATACCATTTTGGACACATGTAACAGCTATGCCAGCAACCAGCCAAGTGGAGACTCTTGACTCTGGTGGGGAGAACAGACAGGGGGCTGGGTGCTCATGACTGTGGGAGGCTTGTGTGCCAGGACTGTGAAAACACTGAGGCTGTGTGGGAGTTCTCAGGGTGTGGCTGGGACTTTGGGCAGTCACTGTGGGAGGCTCAACAGAATCAGGGCTCCCTGGTTACCTGGTGAGGAACATTGCTGGGGAATCTGTGCTTACACTGATGACTGCACAGATGAGAATTACAAAACATTAAAGAAAGTAATATAAGAAGATACAAAAAAATGGAAAAATTTTCCATGTTAATGGATTGGAAGAGTCAATATCATCAAAATGTCCATTCTTCTGAAAGCAATTTACAGATTCAATGTGATACCAATCAAAATACCAAAGACATTCTTCTCAGATCTAGAAAAAATGATGCTGAAATTCATATGGAAACACCAGAGACTTTGAATAGCTAAAGCAATTTTATACAACAAAAACAAAGCCAAAGGCTTCACAATGCCAGATTTCAAGACATACTACAGGGCAGTTAGAATCAAACAGCCTGGTACTGGTATAAAAACAGATAAATAGATCAAATGAATGGAATAGAAATGCCAGAAATCAATCCAAGCATCTACAACCAACTTATATTTGACCAAAGAGCTAAAACCAATCCCTGGAGCAAGGACAATCTCTTTAACAAATGGTGCTGGGAAAACTGGATTTCCACATGTGGAAGTATGAAGCAGAACTTTACCCTACACCTTAAACAAAATCCATTCAAAATGGATTCAAGACCTCAATCTATGATTGGATACCATAAAATTATTAGAGGGCATTGGGGAAAACCTGCAAGAAAATTGCACAGGGAAGAATCCTTGGAAAAGACCCCAAAGGCACAGGCAGTCAAAGCCAAAATTAATAAATAGGATTACATCAAATTGACAAGCTTCTGTACTGCAAAAGAAACACTCAGCAAAGTGAAGAGGAAACTGACAGAATGGGTGAAATTTGGAACTATGCAACTGAAAAAGGATTAATAACCAGAATCTATAAAGAGATCGAGAAACTCCACAACAACAAAACAAACAACCCAATTATGAAACGGGCACAGGACTTAAGCATTTTTCAAAAGAGGAGACTGAAATGGCCAACACACATGAAAAAATGTTCAAGATCATGAGCCATCAAGGAAATGCAAATCAAAGCCACAATGAGGTTTCACCTAACCCCAGTTAGAATGGCTTTCCTACAGAAATCAACAAACAATAAATGCTGGCGAGGATATGGGGGAAAAGGTACCCTAATCCACTGTTGGTGGGAATGTACACTGGTAAAACCACTATGTAAGACATTATGGAGATACCTCAGAAATCTGAATATAGACCTACCATATGACCCAGCCACCCCACTCCTGGAAATTTACCCAAGGGAAATTAAATCGCAAATAAAAGAGTTATCTACACCCCATGTTTATTGCAGCTCAATTCACAATAGCTAAGACATGGAATCAACCTAAATGCCCGTCAGCTGAAGAAATCATAGGATATGTACTCTATGAAATACTACACAGTTTTTTAAAAAATGAAATCCAGTTATTTGCATCAAAGTGGATGAATCTGGAAAACATCAGTTAGTGAAATAAGCCAGTCCCAAAGGAACAAATACTATATGTTCTCCCTGATCTGTGAGAACTAATAGAGTCCCTAAAAGGAAATTTGTAGAAGTGAAGTTGACACTTTGAGAAGCAATGAGCTGAACAACCCTTGTCTTGACTGTCCAATTTCTGCCACTGTCACAGCTTCTCTGAATCTTATCAACCTGTCTGCCTCATATAAGAGTGTCTGTGATTATATTAGGCCCATTTAGATAATCTAAGATAATCTACTTATGTTTAATATTCTTAATCATAATGACAAAAATATTTTTTAAGAAAAGAAACTGTGGTTGAATGTTTTTAGGTACATTTATGAATTGTAGGCCAAAGTTCAGAAAGGACACAACTCCATCTTTGGCAAAAAGGGCTTCATAATAGAAATAATTTGCCTTTTAAATATTTGATTTAGTGCACATGCATACTCTTAAGACTGAGATATCCTGATCCTCAAAGTGCTTTCAATGGGGGTGGGTGTACAAGTCCTGGCTACTCTGTGCTTTTTTTTTTTTTTTTTTTTGACAGACGGAGTGGACAGTGAGAGAGAGAGACAGAGAGAAAGGTCTTCCTTTGCTGTTGGTTCACCCGCCAATGGCCACTGCAGCTGGCGCACCACACTGATCCGAAGCCAGGAGCCAGGTGCCTCCCCCGGTCTCCCATGCGGGTGCAGGGCCCAAGCACCTGGGCCATCCTCCACTGCACTCCTGGGCCACAACAGAGAGCTGGACTGGAAGAGAGGCAACCGGGACAGAATCCGGCACCCTGACCGGGACTAGAACCCGGGGTGCTGGCGCTGCTAGGTGGAGGATTAGCCGAGTGAGCCTCGGTGCCAGCCTACTCTGTGTTTCTGATTTAGCTTCCTGCCAATCTGCCTGGGAGGCAGCAGATGACGGCTCAAGTACTTGGAACCCTGCCACCCATGTGGAAGACTTGGATGGAGTTTCTGGTTCCTGGCTTCAGCCTTGTCCAGCCCAGCTGTTGTGGGGATTTGGGGAGTGAACCAACAGATGGAAGATCTCTCTCTCTCCCTCTCTCTCTCTCCTCTTTCTCTGCCTCCTCTCTCTTTCCTCCTCTCTCCCTCCCCCCATCTCTGTCACTCTGCCTTTCAAATAAATAAATAAATCGTAAAAAAAAGTGCTACCAATGGATCACTACATACATGCATTTCAGGGCTCAGGTGGGTAGAAGCATTCAGCCCTGTAGACCTTGTCTTGCATATTACAACTGCCATTACACACTCTTCTCACTGTTATGGAAATCAAATAGAAGACATCACTTCTGGCAGCACTGAATGTACCAACTCTGATGGAATTATTCCCAATGGGCAAAATCTAGATATTTATGGAAGCAAAGACAAATGTGTCTTTCTTTCATTTATTCTTCTTGAAGTACCTAGCTTTCAATTCTTTAAGCCTTGCTCCCATTTAGATGTTATGACATTATGAGTATTCTGTTTTTATCCCAAATCATGATTACCTGTGAAAAACTTCCAGGGGCGAGATGGAAGTGAAAACATTTTTCTATGCTCTTCTTACTTTTATTGATTAAAATGCAAATATCACTTCCAAGGAAAGCTCTATGCAGACTGTTGCAAATCCTCTAACCATGAGAGATGGCCACATCTACAGTATAATCTAGTCATGACCTTTCAGAGCTTGGAGGCAATAGGAATCAGCTGGTCCACTGCATTTTGTAGATGAGAAAGCAAAAACCTTGACAATGGAGTAAATCATCCAAAGACATACAGGTCAGGGCTGTTGACAGCTTCATAAGATCATAAAAAGTATCAAGCAAGAGTCTACATATCCAGCAGGTAACAGTCATAGCTACAGCTTCCATATTAGAAATGTACTGTTGGGGAGGGCATTTGGCATTGTGATTAAGATGCTGCTTGGAACCCTCGCATTCCAAATCAGAGTACCTGAGTTTGAGTCCTGGCTCCATTGCCAATCTAGCTTCCTGCGGGTGTGCATCTCACGAGGCTGCATGACGGCTCGAGTACTTGGGTCCCTGCTACCCATGCAGGAGACCCAGATTGAGTTTTGGGCTCCTAGGTTTAGAGTGGCCCAGCCCTGGTTGTTGTGGCCATTGTTGTGGGTATTGTGGGGAGCAACCCAGACTGGACTGAGTTACTGGAATTAAGACTTATTCTATGCATCTGCTCTCCCACAATATGGCGCTGGGAGAGAAGAAAACAGCTTCCACACAGCTGCCTCCAGTTCAGCCAATAAACTGTAGGACTTGCTCCTGATTGGAGGAGAGCAGCGTACTCGGCGTGTGGGCAGCCGAGTTAGGATTGGCGGAGGAGGACTATAAAGGAGGAGAGAGACGGCATGCACCGGGAACATGTAAGGGGAACATCTAAGGGAACACCTGTGCAGCCCCCGAGAGAGCCGGCCGGCGGTGTGCTGCTCCCCTGTGGAAGTGGGGAATGTGGCCAGGGGGAACTGCCCTTCCACGGAGGTGGAAGGGATAGTAGCCAACCCGGGAAGAACCAGCAGCAAACCCGGGGAGGGCCGAGCAGACGAAAGAACAGCGCAGGGTCCTGTGTCGTTCCTCCACGAAGAGGGGGAGCAACAGGTATTTAGAGAGTAAGCCAGTGGATGGAAGATTTCTCTCTTTTTCCTCATCTCTCTGCCTTTCATATAAAAAGAAACAGTTAATTAATTTTAAAAAGAAACATACTCTTCAATGTTTTCAGGTTTTGTAATAATTCAACCTGAGAGGTCAAATTTTACTTGAAAGCCTCTAGGAAATAAAAGCTTACTAAGCAAATAGTAGTGGAAAAAAGATTATAGAATATACAGTTTATTTCTTTTTTTAAAATATTTTATTTATTTGAGAGAGAGAGCTACAGAGAAAGGGAGAGACAGAAAGAAAGGTTTTCCATCTGCTGGTTCACTCCCCATATGGCCACAGTGGCTGGAGCTAAGCCAAAGCCAGGAGCCAGGAGCTTCTTTCAGGCCTCACACATGGGTGCAGGGGCCCAAGTACTTGGGCCATCTTACACAGCTTTCCCAGGCCATAAGCAGAGAGCTGAAACAAAAGAGGAGCAGCTGGGACGTGAACCAGGACCCATATGAGATGCCAGCACCAGTTTGTTTATTTCTTTTTTTAGCAGTGCTGTAGCATAGCAGGTTGAGCAGCACAGCTGGTTCAAGTCCCAAATGGCCGCAATATCCGGAGTTGGGTCAGGCCAAAACCAAGTGTTCAGAATTCCATCAGGACCTCCCAAGAGGGTGCAGGCCCCGAGTACTTAGGCCACCCTCCACTGCTTTCCCAGGCTTTAGCAGGGAGCTGGATGGGAAGTGGAGCAGTCAGGACTTGAACCGGCACCTGTGTGGGATTCCAGCATTGCAGGCAATGGTGTAACCCACTGAGCCACAGTGCTGATCCCTACACAGTTTATTTCTAGGAGTAAGCAGGATAAAGAGTACTTGAGATTCTATATACGATATATTTATAATTTTAAAATATTCATTTAAATAGGCCTTGCAAATCTTGAATGTAGAATCATTTGGCTACATATTTAATCTTCATTGTAAACTTGCAATTAAACATTTTTTAACAATGGGCTTAAGATTTCATTGATTTGGTCAGAGTATTCCTTCTACTAACTCAAAATTAGAATTAACTATAGAATTTCAAAGGGGAACCAGAAATTATGTGACGAGACCGAGTCTGCCACAGCAACTGCACTTTCACCTTGAGTGACGCTTATACACTTTTGCTTTGATGAATGGGAAGGGCAGAGTGTTCAGAAATCTGTTTTCCATCGCCTTGGCAGCTCATGGCAAGAGACTTGGGTGATCACTGAAGTCATAAATAAGAATGTTAATTGTTAAATTAACAACAGGAGTCACTGTGCACTTGCTCCACATGTAGGATCTCTGTCCTTAATGTGTTGTACTATGAGAATTAACTGCAAAACTTGTTTTCAAACAGTACTCTATACTTTGTGTGTGTGGGGGGGGTGTAAATTGTTGAAATCTTTACTTAATATAGAGTTGGCCTTCTGTATATAAAGTTAATTAAAAATAAATCTTAATGAAGAATGAGATGGGAGAGGGAGTAGGAGGCAGGATGGGAATGAGGGTGGGAGGGTGGGGGGGTGGGTGTGGGGTGAAGAACCATTATATTCCTAAAGCTGTACATATTAAATTTGCATTCATTAAATAAAAGCTTTAAAAAATCTGTTTTCCCCCTCCAGTACTAATGTCATACTTTTAATGACAACCTCTATTTATATACATCAAGACTTTCTTCAGATGAATACTGACAGCAAGGCAAGTCACTACAAGGCCTTTTGGAATTTATTTGTGCTTCCTGCCTGCAGCCCACACACCAGTTTCCTAGCCCTCTGGAAATCAGTGAATGTGATAGGATTTGGTTTCAATTCTGGTCCCCTAAAAAGACATTTAAAAACATCCCCTGGGCCGGCGCCGCAGCTCACTAGGCTAATCCTCCGCCTAGCGGCGCTGGCACACCGGGTTCTAGTCCCGGTCGGGGTGCCAGATTCTGTCCCGGTTGCCCCTCTTCCAGGCCAGCTCTCTGCTGTGGCCCGGGAGTGCAGTGGAGGATGGCCCAAGTGCTTGGGCCCTGCACCCCATGGGAGACCAGGAGAAGCACCTGGCTCCTGCCATCGGATCAGCGCGATGCCCTGGCCACAGAGTGCCGCCCGTGGCGGCCATTGGAGGGTGAACCAGCGGCAAAAGAAGACCTTTCTCTCTGTCTCTCTCTCTCACTGTCCACTCTGCCTGTCAAAAAAAAAAAAAATCCCCTGAAGTTTTGTCACTTGCAAAATAAAATTGATTCCTAGGTGGTATGATGTGGATTTGGTTTGAGCATGTCTTCTAAGGGTTCATGTGTTGGAAGCTTGGCCCTCAGCGTGACATCCCCAGGTGGTAGATGCCCCATCACCAACAAAGGTGGGGTCAAATGGGAAGTAGTTAGATCATGGGGGCATCGCCATCAGAAGGGATAAATGGTGGTCTCTAATAGTTCCCCTAAGAGCAAGTTATAAAGTGAGCCCATCCATGCACTCGCCCCCTTCTGCACCCTGACATTTCCCTTTCCACCCTCTCCAGGCCTTATTGGGATGCAGCCAAAAAGGCCCTGACCAGAGATCAAACAGGTAGGGCCATCTGATCTTGGGTTTTCAGCTATAAAACCTGTGATCTCAATAAACCTCTTAATAAGGGCCTAGCATCTTGTATTCTGTTATAGCAACACAACACAGATGAAGACATTAGTGGCAAGTTCTTTCTCTCACATAGGGCAGGTATTGCTATCCAATGCTATGTATTTTCCTGAGAATCTTACTTCCTGGAGTTTGCCCATATTGAAAAGACATTTTTTAAAAAACATGGCCTGTGAGCATTACCTCCCTCTTCCTTCTCCTGAATTTAGGGTATGCAGATAAAACACAGGATGTCCAGCAAAACTTGAATTTGATAAAAACATTTTTTAGCACAAGTATGCTCCATGCACTGCTAAACATTATTTGTTGATTATTGGAAATTTGCATTTCACTGGGCATCCTGGACTGTTTGTTGTTTTGGTTTGGGTTAAATCTGGCAATCCTACATGATTCCCTTCTTCCAATTTTGATTTGTTCTTTATCCTAAAATTTTACTTTAATGGGCCCTCTTCCTAATTTCACTCTCCTCTTTAAGGATTCTTTACCTTCTGCTTGTATTTGTGAGCATTAATGGTGCATTATTAGTTTTTAGGGATCTAGGATCGTGTTGAAGAGCACCAGCCTTCGATCTAGAGGGACTGAGCCACTGCTCAGGTGATATTTCAGGAGAGCCTCACTGAAACCATGTCTTTTGACAAGCTAGTCCTTTCAGTTGAGCACTTCTTTCCCTACCCGGTACTTCTAAAACATTAACACAGTAAGTTACAAATGGTAGTAAGGGGGCCAGCACTGTGGTGTAGTAGTTAAGCATCTGCCTGTGACACGGGCATCCCATATAGGCGCCGGTTCTAGTCCCGGCTGCTCCTCTTCCAATCCAGCTCTCTGCTATGGCCTGGGAAAGCAGCAGAAGATGCCCAAGTCCTTGGGGCCCTGCACCCATGTGGGAGACCCAGAAGAAGCTCCTGGCTCCTGGCTTCGGATCAGCCCAGCTCTGGCCTTGGCGGCCATTTGGGGAGTGAACCAATGGAGGGAAGACCTCTCTGTTTCTCCGTCTCTTGGTAACTCTGCCTCTCACATAAATAAATCTTTTAAAAAAAGAAATGCATCAAAGAAGGAGGTACCTTTCTCTGAAGGGAGGAGAGAACTTCCACTTTGACCATGGCCTTGTCTAAATATGATCAGAGTCAGTGAACTCAGGGGGCTTCCATAGCCTTGGCAGCTCATGACAAGAGCCTA